AGAGCATGTACAGCTGCGGCGGTGGTGTGGGCGGGCTGGGAGGAGGCGGGTCGCAGAACCAGCCACCGGCGCTGACGCCGCCACGGCCGCAGCGTGTGGTCACAGCACTAGACGGCATTGCCGGGGGCCCAGTTGGTTGCGAAAGTTGCGGGCGGACGCACGAGCGGTCTTGTTTGAATGACTAGTGGGGGACCTGCGGCGGACCCGCCTCTGTTGTTCGGGCAGTGAGAGACGCAGGATCTGCACGCCAAAGTGGGGCCACTCCGCATTTTCATTTTGGTTTTGGGTTGTCGGAGATCATCCATCAGCACTCATAAGTCAGTCACGTCTGTCAAACAAAGCAGTCGTGGCACGTGAGCAGACGGTCGCTGCATGCAACGGCGCCGCCACACGCTCCGGACGACCGACACACCGACACACCACGCACAATGGGAAGCTATCGCGCACGATCGGACATCGCACCCACCGGCAACACCTCGCCGCACAGATGGGGGGGGGGAGGCATAATCCCACACACACCGGTTGCGATGCTCGAGCAGCCGGAGGATCAAAAACTTGAAGCGCGCCTCGTTTTGGTGGCGAAAGATGCGCCATGGGGCCTTGCCGGAGGACGAGGCTGCGGCCGTGAGACGCATCCTGCGGAGCGACCTCGAGCTCTGGGGGAGGTGGGAGAGACGGCTCAGAGGGGGGTTGGTATAGCGTGCTGGTGAAAAGACCCACGCGTATGATATCCGCAGCGGCGTGTAGCTGTAGGGCGTTCCATGGCGCTGCTGCCGGTGTGGGCGCGGCCATCAAGCAAACGACGCGGCGCGACACGCCACCGGCGCGCGAAGTAGACGAGGAGCGGCATCGAGCCGTGTCTCTCTCACGCACTCTCTTGCGCGCAAAAAGCGTTGTGAGGTGACTAATCGAAACTTAGTGTGCCCGTGCTTGTTTCTTTTTTGGCAAGGCCCGAGAGGCCGGTGCAGGCAGCGCGCCGCCGCCTTCCTCCTCACACCGCCGAGCCTCCACTCGCAGCTTTCGCGCGCCCGCATCCCCTTGCCTCCCCGGCAGCCTCCTGCCTGCGCGACGCTGACAGCGCTGCTTCTCGCGCGTCGCGCCCAGAGACCACCGCGCTGGCTGGCGTTACCCGCCGCTGCACAGAATCTCAAGACAGGCTTTTGCACCGCAGGCCGGCGGCGGCGCGCGCAGGCGGCACAGGACCATCCCGAGGAATATATTTTCTCTTCTTTGCCCTCAAGTTCGACTACTGTGTAATAACATCAACCTACCTCATGTGAGTTGTACGTGTGCTCGTCCTCTGTCGACACGTACACAGCACATAGTTGAAGCCGGGAATCTTCTTGAAGTCGGAGACTCGCAGGTCAAATGAAGACGGCTTCTGGCTCTTCCCTCTCACATATAAGCCTGTGCTGTGGCCCGCTGCCCTCGTTGCATTCGCGCCGGTGTAGCCAGCGGCCGTCTTCACTCCGCCCCCTCTCCCTCCCCTGCTTTTGCCCAAGTCGGATGATGCTGCCAGCCATCCCATGAATCGAACGGCCGTGGAAGCGGTTTGTGATGCGACCCGCTCTCTCTCTCTCGCAAGCGGAATGCTGATCATCGAGATCGGACGCCGAGTTCGAATTGGACACAGCGCTCAGTCGGCAATCGCGTAAGCAACATCAAACTTCTCGCTGCCCCCCTGCTCCGTGGTCGTGTTGCCGGCTTGAGCTGGCGGCGCCAGCGACGAACCGGGACGGGGCGACTGCCGGGGCGGCAGAGGGGGGCGGCGAGAAGGAGTCGGCGGCGCGGATGGGTGAGGGGCGGGCTCCACGACGGCGAGGGGCGGCGGTGGAGCAAGGCAGCCCCCGGGGAGCACGGCCGAGGCGGGCAGTGCCGCCGCCGCGCTCAGCCCGCCGGGAGGCACAATCGCGGTCTGCACGGTCCGCGGCTGTGCGCCCATCATCTGGGGCGCCCGCGCGGCGGCGGCCATCATGCTCGGGTCCGGCTGCCACGCGAGGCGGAGCTGCATCGTCCTCACGTCTGCCGGCGCTGGCGCGCCCGCGGTCTGCACTGCCACTGGCGGCGCGGTGAGGGTCTGCATCGCGGGCTCGCCGAGCACGTGCACGAGGACGAGCTGGGGGCGCGGCGGCGGCGCGGAGGAGGAGGAGGGGAGCAACGAGGAGAATGGGCTGGCGGCGCCGCCCTCGAGCCAGAGCTCGTGCCGCGTGCACAGCTGGCTCGGTGGCGCCAAGACCTGCCTCTTGCGGATGCCGGCATTGTGCTCGCGCGCGGCCTGCACGTAGACCGCTCGCTGGGCATCGGAGAGGGACTGCCAGCTCGCCTCCACCGCCTTGCGGACGGCGGCAGCGCCCTGGTCGGGCTGCGTGCGCTTGAGCGACTCGGACTGCGCGCGCACAAAGAGGGAGAAGGCGCGCACCGGCCGCGCCGCAA